TTCCCGGGACTTGAGCTGTCAGCTTATCTGGCGAACCTGGGATTCGTCGATCTGCACAGCCTGTGAGTGGGAGCCCTGCTCTCCGACCTTCCGATCCTGGGCTTGCCAGCTTCTGCAGCTGTGTGACTTGGGAGAGGCCTCTACCCTGATCCACAGACTTGGGATGTTCTAGCCTCTACAACCACATGAGCTGTTTCCTTGATATAATCTCTCTCTATGTATATATTTATACACTTTACTGGTTTTGCTTCTCTAGAGAACCCAGCCTAAGACACTAGATAACTGGGATCTTCTAAAAATTAAACACTTATTCTCATCAAAAGACTTCACCAAAAAAGTAAAAAGAGAACCTACAGACTGGGAAAAATTTTTTGGCTATGACATATCCGACAAAGGTCTAATCTCTAAATCTACAGGAAAATCCAACACCTCGACAACAAAAAGACAAATAATCCAATTAAAAAATGGACAAAGGATATGAACAGACACTTCATCAAATAAGACATTCAGGTGGCTAACAGACATATAAGTAAATACTTGCCATCACTAGCCATTAGAGAAATGCAAATCAAAACTACAATGAGATACCATCTCACCCCAACATTACTGGCACGAATAAAAAAAACAGAAAATAACAAACGTTGGAGAGGCTGTGGGGAGATTGGAACTCTTATGCACTGTTAGTGGGAATGCAAAATGGTACAACCATTTTGGAAAATGATATGGTGCTTACTCTAAAAGCGAGAAATAGAAATACCATATGATCCAGTAATCCCACTCCTAGGAATATATCCTAAAAACATAACAGCCGTAACATGTATAAATATATGTGCACTCATGTTCACTGAAGCATTATTCGCAATAGCAAAAAGATGGAAACAACCTAAGTGCCTATAAACAGATGAATGGATAAATTATGGTACATACACACAACTGAATACTATGCAACAATAAAGAACAATGATTAATCCGTGAAACATCTCACAACATGGATAAATCTGGAGGGCATTATGCTAAGTGAAATAAGTCAATCACAAAAGGACACATACTGTATGAGACCACTATTATAAAAACTCATGAAAAGGTTTACACACAGAAAGAAACAATCTTTTATGGTTACAACGGAGGAGAAGGGCGGGGAGGGAAAAACACTAACTAGACAATAGAGAAGTGGTAACTTCGGGGAAGGGTAAGAAGTACACAATACCGGGGAAGCCAGCACAACTTGACTAAGGCAAAGTCATAGAAGCTTCACAGACACTTTCAAACTCCCATAGGGATCGAGTTACTGGGCTGAGGGCTGGGGACCATGGTCTTGGGGGACATCTAGCTCAAATGGCGTAACACAATTTATAAGGAAAATGTTCTACATCCCACTTTAGTGACTAGTATCTGGGGTCTTAAAAACTTGTAAGCAGCCATCTAAGATACGTCTACTGGTCCCACCCCTTCTGGAGCAAGGGAGAATAAAGAAAACCAAAGACACAAGGTGAAGATTAGTCCAAAGGATTAATGGAACACAACTACCACAGCCTCCACCAGACTGAGTCCAGCACAACTAGATGGTGCCTGGCTACCACCACTTACTGCTCTGACAGGAATCACAACAGAGGATCCCAGACAGAGTGGGAGAAAAATGTAGAACAAAATTCAAACTCACAAAAAATACCAGACTTACTGGTCTGACGGAGACTGGAGAAACCCCGAGAGTATGGCCCTGGATATCTTTTTAACCCAATACTGAAATCACTCCTGAGGTTCACCTTTCAGCCAAAGATTAGACAGGCCCATAAAACAAACAATAATACACATAGCTAACCCATATATATGAGACTAAATGGGCACACCAGCCCAGGGGCAAAGACGAGAAGGCAGGAGCGGACAGGAAAGCTGGACGAATGGAAATGGGAGAGAGTTGATATACGTTGCAAGGTTGGAAACCAATGTCACAAAAGAGTACGTGTATTAATTGTTTAATGAGAAACTAATTTGCTCTGTAAACCTTTACCTAAAGCACAATAAAAAAATAAATAAAAGGTGGTAGCAGATGAAAGCAGAGGGGTGGCTGAACTCACTGTGACTGGGCACATGAACTACTGGTGACACAAAGGCAAAGACATCCAGCCAGACAAGTACAGGGGGTGAGGGAGGCTCCCAGCTAGCAGTCCTCACAGGAGGGCAGAGAACAAGCCCCGCAGGAGTCCAAAAGCAAGCATTCAGTTTTCTGCTCGAGTGCCCACCCACAGAAGTCAGCTGAAGCCACTCACAGACAAGGGAGCAGAGAAAACAAAATCGGCAATCACGAGCAGTGAGCTCCTAGGATAAACTCCTCCTTGCCCACAGCCACTGCAGGGCTGGACACTTACCGTCCCCAGGGCCTGGACATACTGATCTGTTCTGTCTTGATCATTGAGCTCTCCAAACCGAGGCCGGTTCCAGAGCAGGTGTGCCTGGCAGTCGCAGACGGGGCGCACTTGATGGAGGTCACCCCCATTCTTTTCGGGGCTAGGCCAGGAGATGAACAAACACACAGGTGATGAGCGTGACCTACCAAACACAGAAGGGCCTAAGGGTATGGGCCTGGAGTCTGCCTGTAGAAATTGACAGGGGATCCAGGGGCACAGCCACAGTTCTCTGGAAGACATGAGTCCAGAGACTGGAAAAGGTTAGCAGGCCACCCATCCAAGACGTCTAAGTGGGAGCCAGCAAGCTAAGACAGCTCTTCAGAGCAACACACAACCAGGCACTGATCCATCCAGTCACAACTCTCTGTCCTTATTTCTGTCCAGACACAAAGCCACCCATGTGTCCCTGCAGGGTCTATACATGGGGACTTTACATACATGACAGTCTCCAAGGCCCACTCCTCCACCCCCTGGTCCTCTGGGCGCACCTGGTCCTCCACAGGCTGTACCACACGCAGTAGTCATCGTGGTGGGCCACCAGGCAGAGGGCTGAGCCCTGGATCACAGGCTCCTCTTGTGACAGGAAGTACACACACTGCATCCAGTGGTCCCGCCACTGAAACGGGAGCAGAATCAGGTGTCACCATGCTGTAACAAGAGCAACACTGCCAATCCAGGAGCCAAAAACCATTACAATCAGTTTACAGGGAGACCATGGAGCAGACTACAGCTGGTTATGCAGGCTGAAGAGATGAAGAAGAAAATCCTGGAGTCAGAAAGGCCAGTGGCAGCAAGCTTGCTGGGACACTGCTGGCGTTAGGAAGACACAAGGTGCCCAAGGCAACAGTCTTCAAGTGGCACCCAGGGAGGGGACAGTGCAGGTGTTCCAGGCCCCCACCCCAGCAGTACAGCGCCACTTCTCTCTGCTACCTGTTGGGCTCTGCTTAATGTTAATCTGAAAACAGCAAGTCCTAGCTTTAAGCAAAGTTTTAAACCCAGTAGTCTAGAGGAGACCCCATTATGAATAGTCCTGTGGCACATATACCAAAGGCTTTAGCATACTCAGAATTTACTCTTGTCTTGTACGTTATTTCAAAACCCAGAAAGGTCAAATGCAATGCATAAAACCTAACCAGATCCTAGATCGAGGTAATCAAAAGCTACAGAAGACATCTGGAAACCAGTGAGGAAATCTGATTTTGAACTGTAGATTAGATGATATTATGGAATTACTGTTAATTTTCTTAGGTATGACAATGGCATTACAATGGAGATTGTTTTTATTCGCAGTTGTATGTTGAGAATAGTGTTAGGATGTCCGCAACTTACTTTCAAATGTCAGCAAAAGAAGAGTGCTGCGTGCGTGCGTGCGTGCGTGTGTGTGTCTATACAGAAAGAGAGGGAAGGAGCAAGGGAGGGAGAAATAAAGCAAATATGGCAAAATATTAACAATCGGTAAATTTAAGAACAAATCAAAGTTCTTTTTCAATAGTTCTGTAGATCTAAAATTTTTCAAAATAAAAAGTTGAGAAAGCTTTTGTTTTGTTTATTCTTTTGAATTAAATGGAATTTTTAAAGAACGGGAATACTCTAAATTATGAAACATAGTTTATAATGATACAGAGTCAACTTTTATTAAGCTGTGCTGATACTTTTTGATACTACAAACCCAAATATAGGATTCTATCTTAGGGAAAAACATAAAAAAAGCTATATTCATATAAAGATGCATATCACGTAAGTATTTATACTAGCAAAATCTGGAAGCAACCCAAATGTCTAACAGTTCAGAAATGGATGTATAAATCCTCATACAGAATCCTCGCAAACAGTTAAAATGATGGCTGTGAAGACTATAAACCAAAAAAACCAAACCTACTGTGTCTGAGTCGATTCTGACTCACGGCGACCCTGGGCAACCACAGGGGTTTCACTTAGCTGCTAACATAAAGGTCAGCGGTTCAAACCCATCCAGTGGCTCCACAGAAGGAAGGTCTGGCAAGCTGCTTCCATAAAGGTTAGAGCCAAGAAAACGCTATGGGGCGGTTCTACTCTGCAACATGTGGGGTCGCCATGAAGACTGCAGTGCAGCATGAAAACAGAAAGGAGATGAGCATCAACAAAAACCCATGCAGGTGAGAAAGACCAAAGAGCAGTAGTTGTTTGAGTGGCAGGACCACGAGTGATTATTTATTTTTGTTTTCTATAATGAAGTTATATTGCTCTTATAATCTTTCAACATCTTTTTAAAAAATAAAGAAATGCCATAAGAAGCAGGCACCTGGCTCAGCTCTTTCCCATTGTCTGAGGAAACTGGCCCCCGGGAGACTCCAGGCACATGGCTTGGCACTAAGCAAACAAAGCCCAATGCCAATCCCACTTCTTAGGAACACACTCCACCCTGCCTGCCCTTGAACTTAACTAAAAAGCAGGCAAACATCATTCTCATGTATCCAAGATGTCTATTTGAACATAAAAGCTAGAAAATGAAAATCCAACCAGATGTGTTCAGAAAAAAATAAAGAGTAACAAGGGAGGAAAAAAATTCATTCTCTAAAACCTGTTATTCACCCCCACACTATGCAAGTTTATCTGAAGACAAGAGAGGAGTTTCCTGCACATGTGCAAACCTATGCATCATAATGACTGGGCCATGCTGCTCTCCATGGATGGTCCAAGAGTCACTTTCCAGCTCTTTCCCCATCGCGTCCCCAACACCATGTGCGATCAATCAAGCTTTTGGAACTGTATTCACTAATGGCATCTGGGTGCAGTTTAAATTTGCATTTTTCTTTATTATGAGAGAGGCTGAGCATCTTTCCACGTGTTAAAGAGTAATCTGTATTTCTTCTTCTGTACTTCATGTCCTCTGCCCATTTTCTAGTGAGCTGGAGCAGGTAGATTTTGAGGCCACAGCAAATGAGGCTGTAGGCAGGCCGCAGTCCTCCATGAAAGCCGATTTGAGACCGGCTGGGGTGCTCTGGGGAAACAGGGGGATGAGCTGTAAGAGTAACTAGGCCAGGAAGGGGGCAAGCAGGCACACCAGAGCTCCTCCAGTGAGCCCTGTGTGCATGACACTCACCATGAACCCACGCAGAGGTCCACCTTACTACAATTAGTGTTTGCTTTTTTTTTTTACTTTTTGCCTTTGATTCTGACATAGTCCCTTCTATCTCTAAATTCTTGTGAATCTAAGATTCAACATGCTACATTCCCATAACCAAAGGTGGATTACAAGTTTCCTGATTTACATGAAAATGTGCTCAGATCCTGCCTCTTACCTGGAGCCCCTCTGGGTCTGAGTGTGCCCAGAAGGGGGCCATAGTGCACTTGATCTTCCCCTCAGGGTCCATTTCAATGTCCCACCAGGAGAGAACCACTTGAGCTCGACCAGACACCAGAGGTTCAAACTGCCTGCTATGGCAAGCTGCTGAGCTACTAACTTGCTTGCTGAAGTCCACACTGTGGAAGAATATTCAGGTATTTAAGCATATTTTAACCTCACATATGTTCCATTTTTAAGCTTTTAAAACACCAACGATGATACTTGTTTGCAATGGATTCCTGCCTTCAGAACAGGGCTTCGAACCAGTTCGGTCCAGTTCAAACCCCTACTTAGAATTTGCATTTCCACCCCAGATACACTGAATCTGAATCTACACTTTAACAAGATCCCCACGTGATTCTTATGTATAATATATTCTGACCTCTACTAGCTGTTCTTAACCGGCAGCATTAGCATTGCCTGGGAACTTGTTAAAAATGCAAATTCTCAGCAGGGGTACCAACTAGGAACAAACTGGTTGGAAACCCTGCTTCAGAGGCAGGTGATACCAGCTACGTTTCCTTCTCACCCAAAAAGAACTTCCAAAGACCCATATTCCATCAATGTCTCACAGTGCCATCACCCTGGGTGGCTCCTTGGTACCTGAACATAGGAAGCACATCACTGAGGACAGTGAAGTCCGCTGGTGACACCTGGTTCAGCTGAATGTCATAGACGGAGGGTGCACCAGGACACCTTTCCAGCTCTAAGGGAGGAACAATGACCTGCTCCCCAAGGCTGGTCTGCACATGGATGGGAAACAGCTTGTTCCAGGACCACATCCTTCTGGACTCCACCAGCTGGGCGTAGACGGTTGCTCTGTGAGGTACTGCCTCACAATTTTCCTAAATTTTACATTAAAAAAAAAAAAGAACAAAAATAAATAAATGCAGGGCAGGTACAGTGACCACAGTAATTCCCATCAATCAAAAGTGGTTTATTCAAAACCACTGGCCAAACTGACAAAAGACAACAGGAGACGAAGGAGATAACCCTTATAAGAAATGAGATGGGTGATATCACAACAGACCCAACTGAATTTAAAAGAATCAAAACAGAAAACTATGAAAAACTGTACTGTGACAAATTTGAAAACCTAGAGGAAATGGACAAATTTCTAGAAACTCACTACCTACCTAAATTAACACAAACAGAGGTAGAACAACTAAATAAACCCTTAACAAAAGAAGAGACTGAAAAGGTTATTAAAAAACTGCCAACAAAAAAAAGCCCTGGCCCGGATGGCTTCATGGGAGAATTCTACCAAACTTTCAGAGAAGAGATAATACCACTTCTACTAAAGGTATTTCAGAGCATAGAAAAGGACAGAATACTCCCAAACTCATTCTATGAAGCCAGCATAACCCTGATACCAAAACCACGTAAAGACATCACAAAAAAAGAAAATTACAGACCAATATCCCTCATGAACATTGACGCAAAAATCCTCAACAAAATTTTAGCCAATAGAATTCAGCAACATATCAAAAAAATAATTCACCATGACCAAGGGGAATTTATACCAGGTATGCAGGGATGGTTCAACATTAGAAAAAC